TTTGCCTCCAAAATTCAGGTTGGTCATTAGAAAATATTGGTACTACTTGTATTAGTTAATATACTTTTACCTGCTACTAAATAGTATAGATTATGAAATTCTGCATCTTTTAGAAGGAGCATCCCAAATTTCCTAAGCACATGAGAATCAAATTGCTTAAATTATGTCTATTTCATATTCTGAGTGCATACATTTGCAATTAGCTATCTCAGGCATATTTCTTTCATTTAATTTCATCATCATCAAGTACTATTTATTAAGCACAAACCTGGCTAATTAATTTTCTACAGAATAACAGATATTCTTACATTCATTCTATTTAAGAGTCCTTAAATAACATATCTACCTGATACATGATATTTTTTTTCCTTAGCAAAAATTGTGTTTAAAGTTTAACCTTAACATTTCAGAGTTTCAGCAGTATAGATTCTACTCTCAAAGTTAGCATATCCAAATAAAAATGTTACTCAGGGAAAGCACAACAGATTATATCAGATTTTTATTCTTACTACAATGTGTTAATGTTACCTAAATTTTTCAAAATATCACTATTCCAGTTATATATTTTTCTTGTAGTAATTTGGGTTTGAAAAGAAGTAGTTTAGGCAAGTAATGATATAAATATAAAATATATTTTAGCTAAATTTAAAAAAATAATATAGTTCATCAAAACTGAAGCAAAGGAAAGCTATTGATCTAGGAATTCAAAATATTCAGCAAATGCATATAAAAATAACTGAGATCTTTGGAGTGACTACTGATACTTTATTGTGCAACCCTGGAGAAAATAAGATGAGAATTTTAATATACATTTGGGAAAGGAAATATTTTTCTCAAGATATTTTTCTAAATGCAACAAATACAATTGCTTTCTATTTAGCAGCAATGTTACTACATTTCACTTGAAGCTACAACCATAAAAATGGAGTTTTAGAAAATCTTCCTCTAGGACATTATAATTTCATCCCAGTCATAATTCCCAGTCATGGAAAAGTTAACACATACATTTTTTTTTTAAAAAAAATGTATTTAGTACAAGGTCTACAGGGTCTCACTATGTAGATCAGACTCATAGTGATTCTCCTGTTTTCAGCCTCCCAAGCACTGGGATTATAGGTGTGTGCCACCATGCCCAGTCTCAATCACCATCTCAGTGCATACTGGGAACAGGGCCCACATAGCATAGGTGCATTGAAACCCTGCCTAAGCAGGCACTTTAATCCTCTGAGCTATCTGGCCGGCCCTATAACATATACACTTGTATATGTTAGTATACAAGTATATATCTAGTATATTTTGTTTCTAGAGGCAATTATATGATACTGCAGGGGCAAATGCCCTGGAAGAATGACAGAAACAGAAACAAAGCTAGAAGCATGTAACCGGTGCCACTGTATAAGCATATGAGCATCTGTCTTTTGAGAAGTTGGATTTACAGTGACAGTCCATACACTTTGCAGAGAAAGGGGCACAACTAACCATGGTATTTCAGAGAGGCATATACAGAGCTCCAGATGACCAAGTGCTCTATTCCTGCCTGCCATTTGTAGGGAACAACTGCTGGGCATTATTTTATAATATGTGAACTCAGTGCTAAATATTGAGAGGGAATTAAGCATTTGGATTTTTTTTTCAGAACTGAGTATTGAACTCAGGCCTACTGAACCATGTCCCCAGCCCGATAATTTTGAATAGGATAAGTTTGACCTTAAATATGAGTTAGAGACTCATTAATGAACCTAGATTAGTAGATGCTCTCAATTGCAAATGGAGTCCAACAGATCTTTGAGAAGTAACTCACATATGAGATGAAATGGTAGAAAAAAGCCTGAGAAGTAGGGAAAAAAACCCCAACAACATAAAAAGGCCCTCAATTAGAAGCAGAGTCATTCAGGGTTTTATATCTGCTAGGTAGCCTGCCTTTGTTTATATCCACAGTAGCTCCCAGGAGAACACAGTGTACAGAATCCACAGAAAGAATTCCGCCATACTTTTCAAAGTAGTTTAGTTTTCAACAATACACCTTTCCCTGAGGGAAAAACACCTTGAGAACCAATTAGTGGTATGAAGGGCTGGGAGAAAAAGATTGTGCTGTGGTAGAAAGATTATTTTGTTGATTTTGGGTAAAAACCTAGGAAAAACCTAGGGCCAGATGCTAAGCTGGAGGGTCCCTGTGCTCATCTCCTCTTTGCCCTGGGGACCCTGCAGTCTGTTACATTTGTATCTCCTCAATGGGGACAAGAACAAACTCTCAAAACTATTTTTGTAAGACACAATCCAGAATCATAAAACAGGCCGTAATTTTCTGAGGAGTGGCAGTGGATTATTGGAATAACAGAAAGAGAACAGAAAAATATATTTTCCTGTTTAGGTTTCATGTGAGCAAAGCATAGGCCTCTCCATCCTTTACTGCAAAAGGGAAACAAGGCAAATAGATAGTAAACATTCACAATAAGGCTAAATCCATGACTGATGCCTCTTACTCTTTCATATCAACTATAAACATGCTGTCTACTGGTTTTTAATGGTGTGACTGCCTGACTCAGCAGACCAGTATTAAAACCAAATTTACATAAATGGAAAATGAAATCTTTTTGCAAGACATGGGCTGTTAAGAACTGCTTAGGTAAGGAGACACTCACTTACACAAACAGGAATATACATATTTAACCACCCACCGATATCTGCTTAAGCATAAGCTATTGCCCATAAAAAGGTAAAGATGTTTGCTTTTAACTTCAAAAAAGTGATCTCAGTTTTAATTTTACTTGTAATAAATTCTGCAAATAGAGCTGTTCTTAAGGATAAGGAGAATAATACCAAACTGATCTCCACAAACATGACCAAGGTCTCAACATCAAACAATGCACATACTTAGATACTGGCCGAAGAAGCTAAGCTGAAGATATGAACACTCAGCAAGGACACCAGGTTCCCTGCAGGAGAGGAATGGACACGAGGAAAGAGTGCACATTACGAAGCAGCCCACTGTAGGCTCAGAAGTCAGATTTTACTATTTCATTTAAATTTAGTTTTTGTAGTACTGGGAATTGAACTCAGGACTTTGCGCTTGCCACGCAGGTGTTTATGCCACTCAGCTACATCCCTGGCCCAGAAGTTAGATTTTTAGTTCAAGCAATTCCTGGCTTTCTGACCACAGTAAAGACAATGACCACTGCCAGGTACAATTTCCCCTTTAATAAAATGGCATAATAACATGAGTACAAATATAAAACACTTCTGATGGTGTCCAAGCATTTACTAACTGCCAAGTAAAATAGGGGTTAATAGCTACTGTCCTTGTTATTATTACAATAATTTTCCTTCTGTTCCTGGTTGTACATTTCTGATGCATGTTGGGGAGTTTTGTAGATTCATTGTCATGAGCCCCAATTCTTCAGCCTCCTCTGTACCCACACCTAAGCCATGCTCACATTGTGGATACAGTGTGTTTCTCCATCACACAGCCTGGGCCAGGGGTGTGTGTGTGTGTGTGTGTGTGTGTGTGTGTATTGACATTGCACAAACTGAGGGGCAGACATTACAAAGCTTTTCTTAATCCTGCTGGCCGTCAGTTAGCCTGCTGGTCAAGGAGTAGGTACAATCCACGAAGCACACCCAGAATAATGAACTTGCAGACTGAGAAATGGGAAACCAGCCTGAATCAGAGCCACCACTGCTATTCCAGATGCCCTGAAGGGCCAGGAAGAAACAAAAGCTTACTCGTATGAATTACTGAATGTATGTGATTATTAGTTTTCTTTTCCTTTTTTTTTTTTTTGTGTGTGTGTGTGTGTGCAGGGTCTTACTACAGCCCAGACTCATAGTGATCCTCCTGATTTCTGCTTCCCAAGTGCTGGGATTACAGGTGTGCACCATGCCTGAACTTCATTGTTGGCTCAGCAGGCCCTGGGATGGGGCCAGCGTGGCATGCAGAGCCAGGGATTGAACCGTGGCCCCTGCGCTCACCTAAGCAAGCCCTTAGTCTGCTGAGCTATACCGCTGGCCCTTGTATGTGATTATGTATAATGTGGTAAGAGCTAACCAATCAAAGGATGAATTAAAGAGATGTTTATGCACAGCACAACTCTTACTGCCATAGGGGAAAAGGCATCAATCACCCTAGTAATGGTAGTGATCATATAACTCACATTATTGTGTTTTTATTTTAAGATAAAGGATGTTGATATATAATTTTTTTTTCTAAATTAAAACCTCAGTCTTCAGGTATATTTACAGTGTTAGCATTTGTGATAAGTAAGTGGGTTTTGGGTTGCCTTTTGGGTTCTTGCCTCTAACAGTTTCGTCATCAATGTTAGTGTCTGTGTTGCAGCAGCACATCTGCGAAGACGAACACCACAGCAATGCACACTGGAGAGAGCCGGGAAACTTCCTTGGTAGAGAGTGGCAAAGCTGGGTCTGAGCACAGGAGATGTAGTTAGCCACCACACCACGTGATTAGCTCAGTGTGAAGGGGTAGGGAATGATCATCCCCTTTTTCCTTGAAACATATAAGCATCTTCAAGTGTTCAAATGTAAATACGCATTCTGGGTGCCACATTTATCTTCATAGGCATAAAACATGATAAATAACCTTTATACTAAAATCATCTTAGCTGTACTGAATTTCTTTCTTGCAAGTAAAATTTTCACATTTGTTGTCTTTATGTTCACTTGTTTTTAGTTTTTCTTTTCTGATTGTGTATCTTTAGGCTCAATTCTGCTAGTTTATAAATTCAGAGGAATACTAATGGAGTAATAAAAAGGATGCAAAAATCATGTTAATTGCAATGAGTTTTTAGAACTATTTCTGGGAAGTGAAATTAACTACATATGATATGAAAGTAGGCAACTGCTCCTCAGATGTGTTCACACGCACATTTCCACAGCTGCAGAAAGCCTCAGTGGCATCAGGCCTTCCCCTCCTCCTCTAACCAGACCCCAACAACAACAGCCACATCTCCCAGGAGCCTCACCAGGTGCAAACATAAGCTCCTCACCTTAAAAGCAGCACCTCCATGGATGATGGATTTGATAAAGATCCCCAAGTCCATTCCAGTTTCTCGGGCTTTGTTCCCTTTCAAGCTCACCCCAAGGCCAGCGGAGCCAGAATCATTCAGGGGGATCTCAAACGTGAGCTGCTCACTTGTCTCCAGGGAGAGTGCATAACAGTCAGGTTCTCCTTTCTGTTAGGGAAACGCACATGAGAAATGTGAAGACAAGGAACAAGGTGATATTCACATTCTCAGGTGACCAAATACAGAGTGACGGTAAAAGAGGATGGATAGACCTGTACAGGTACTGTCTTGCTCCTGGCACCAGTTTCTTTCTCTGCAGGATGCTACCACCATGTGCATCCAGCAGGGCAGAGCTCTCAGGAGAGGACATTTGGTGATGGTTCATGGAGAGGACTATTTGGCAAGGCAGAGCCATACAATATGCAATATTCCATAAACGTTAGGAAATGCAGTGAGTTATTTTTATACTTAAAAGGCTGAACATTAGAATTAGGAAAAGTTAGTGTCAGAAGATATCTTAGAGATATCATCTCAACATCTTCATCTTACATATGATAAAACAGAGCTTAGTGTAGAAATGTGGTTAACATTTTAAGCTATTTCACTTCTATAATTTAAAACATATCATTTACCACAGAAATGATGCTCTTGGTAAAAGCTGTCAGTAGGACACAGAACCTGAAAAACTTACTGTAAAATTAGAGAAAGTGATTTATAGTGCAAATCATTGAATTCAAATCCACTTTGGCACAACTTGTGCTTTAAACCTGCACCTTAAAACACACAAATGTCAATCAACTTTTAGATGTTAGCAAAAATGATTTTGCACAACAAATATTCAGGTCTTCTGATGGATGACATGTAGCTACAAGCCAGTTATTCCCAAGAAAACAGAATACCATGTCAAAAGGCACTTGCAGTGTTCAGGTCTCCAGGAGAAGGACATGGAAAAGCACAATGTTTTTAAAGACACAGCAGTGGAGACAAACACATGCTGTACACATGACGCTTCTGTCCATGTCCTTCCTGTGCTCCTCACCAGCTTGTAGAAATGTGGAACCGCCACAGTGCTTAACTGGAAAATTTGAAAATGAGATATTCCTGGAAGCCATCAAGTCATTCTAGGCCAGCAGTTCCTTCCTCTCTATAATTATGTCTAGAGTCGCTCATCTTAAGGTCACTTTGAGGGTACTCTTATGTGAAATTACATATTTAAAAAATTACTACAAATGTCTGAATGTCAGTCAGAAATAACTATGAAATCAGAAGTGGCAAAGAACCCATAATTAAAACAGAATTAAGGGGTCTGATCATATCCAGATCTACTGACATGACATTTTTAACCCTTAACAAAACAGAGAGAATTCACATGAAACTTTAAAAGAAGTAGTTCATTTAATTTCATTGTGAGTGAGGTTAGCTGTAAAGATATTGAAAACAGGTTATTCAAAGAAATGGAACTTTACTACTCAATTGAAGAAACCTGTTATACGTTAGTTCTTTTAAACCAACTCATATTATTATTATTATTATTATTATTATTAAAGAATCAAAATTCTATTATTTGTAGTGACTTCACTGTTTTTTTTTTTTTTGCCCCATCAGAATGACAGAAGTTACTGCTAATAATTAGCTTTCATCTCTGTTTTACAGAACTCTCAATTTATAATCTATAACTTTTCCCAGTCAATTATACTTCCAGGCCTCTCTGGGATTTGGCTAATTTCAGTCTAATGCAGCCTTACTGAATTAAAGTAGAAATTAAGCAACTATTGTGATTATATGTTTGTAAAATACCTTAAAGGAGAAAACTAGAAGGCCTCCCTGGTTTTTATCTTACAGAGAGAAAAGTATAAAGAGTAATTCTATTTAGAAACAGTCACATGTCATTTAATGCTAGGGCATGTTCTAAAAATGGATGGACAGGAGCATTCTCTTGCGAACCACACAGAGTGAACTCACACAAACCAAGAATGCTGTGTTGTCACCTGGCATAAAATCTTACAGGACCTCATCCTCTATGCCACATGTCACAAACATCGCAGTATGTGGCAGGCAACTGTACCCTCACACCATTTATTCTGCAATTAAACAGGTTCTGTTTTGGCAAGTGTATTTGCTTCTTAGGGAGATTCATAACCATTGTTATTTTGCACTGACACCATCTGTTAATTAAACGTACAAGCAAAATAGAGACAAGGCAGCATCGTGGTTATCTTTTTATTTGAAACTTTGAAATCTTTTGTAAGCCCCTAAAATTTTCAAGCCAAAAGTACAACAAGAACAATAAACTGGGGGCTAACAATGATTGGATTGGTCCGTTCCATTCTAAAAGCTTTACGGGTAGTAATATAATTACTCCTCATAGAGACACCTTGAGATGCGTTACCATGCCCGTTATACAGATAAAGAAATAGAGGTGCACAGAGGCTAAACACCAGACTTATAGTTAGTACACAAGATTTGTCAACACTGGGCTTTGTAAAGCCTAGACAGAATGCTTTCTGGGTTGGAATCTGCATTTATTTTTAGTGAAAGATTCTTAGTTTTCTACTATATTTCTATGTTCTCCATTACATCCATTTTCACCAGAAGCACGAATTTCTAAATTGCCATTTCCAGAGAAATAAACTGTTATGTAAATTGCACTTATTATGCTGTAAAATCATTTTTATTTTTTATTTATTTATTTTTGATACAGGGTCTTGCTACTCTGTTTGGACTTGTAGTGATCCTCCTGTCTCAGCCTGCCCAGTGCTGGGATTCTAGGCAGGCACCACCCTACCCTGTTCTGGAGCCGGCATGCATTTGGTACCAGGGATCGAACTTGAGACTTTACACTTGCCAGGCAGGAACTTCTGTTGCTGAGCTTTCTCCTTTGCTCTAAAAATTATTTTTAAATAGACAAGTTATACACATATATTGTACATCTAATGCACTAAAATATGTATATATAGTAAAATAGCAAACTGAGCTAATTCATGCATGCAGTACCTCACATGCTTATTATGTGATGAGACTCCCTAACGTCTTCTCTCAATGATTTTTAAGAATACAAGGCATTGTTATTATTTTCAGTCATCCTGAAGCACAACAGATCTCAGGAACTAATTTCTGCTACTGCTGAAATTCTGTATCTCTTGCCTAACATCTACTTTGTTTCCCCAGTCCCTGGCAACCAGCAAGCTGCTCTCTACTTCCATGAGTTTGAATTTGTCATACTGTTCAATGCTACCACATATTATATCCTTAGGTTCAAGCTTCTGTGGACCACCATGGCATGACTTAGTCACAAAAAATTCCAAGGTGGATTTTTACAATGATAGTAAGACAACATATAATTTTATATTCTTCACCAACTACAGCTATGCTTTATATCTTTCTTATGCTGTACCAGACACAAGCCATAATTACTGATGTCTAATAAAAGCAAAATTCCGAATGGTGAAGGAAGCTATTATGGTAGTTAACCCAGCTATTTCCTCTGTTACAAATAAATATTGCTTTACCTAATGTACAAAAAAAAATCAATATGCTGAATACCTCTTTCTAATGATCTTGGTTCAACCAACAACTCTAAAAATGAAACTCAAATCTTGCCAGAAGATATTATGCAGAACCTGGAAATAAGTACAAAGTATTCCCAAGTGTCCCCAGTCTAGGACCTTAGAGAGAGAATGAGTCCCAGGGCCAGGTTGCATCCAAAACTCAGATCCTCCCTGGCTCCCTACCTTTCAGAAAAGAGATCTTCCCACATTGTGTCTTGCTTTTTACTTCACAGATATCCATGTGAAATCAGTGATGATGCTAGTGAGGCAGAGGAGGATGATGACAATGATAATCCAAACAGTTGGCTGGTGCTGGAGTGGGAATCTTGGGATAACCAACACTAAATGCCTTCAGACATCAAATATCTCCAGTAGAAAACCATTGCTTTGATGTTTTAGTGTAACTACTGCCAAAACGACCACATGAAAACCACTGCTTGGAATCAACAATTTCCTAATATAGTCAAATTCAAGGAAACTAGGGTACAAAGCAGCACTTCAGAAGCTATTAGCTACACTGCTACTTGCTGGTATGTCCCCAAGTTCTGGGAAGGGATGGCAGCAGACATGGCTGCGATTGGCAAGATCTTAGGCTCACAGGTTCAGGACTAGGACTGTTAGTAAGAATGAATTACTGAAGAATCATATACTCAGTTATACTCAATTATATGGCAGCTAATTTTCCAGAGGCATAAATATGATCCCTGTTAGATAAATAGAGCAGGAGAGGTGAGAGAAAACACCAAATTTACTGGCATATTTACAAAATGCTTCCTTTTACTTATGTCAGACTTTGGAAGAAAAAAATGTAGCCTATCATGTGGACTTCATCAGGCTAGTGATTCTGACCTGTATGCTAGTTTTATTCTTCTCCATTTATTAAGAATAACAGAGTAGTATTGGTAAATATTTAATCATGTGAGAGTAGGATAAAACAAAGTAAAACAAGTTTCTGCATACAGCATATTTTAGTTATGTAACATATGGGTATGCTTGTAACATACCTCACAAACACACTTAGAAACCTACCTGTTACCTATCTACCCCTTACCCTCACTCCATCTAGGTGTACAGAAAAAAATAAAATAAAATACCTAAAACCGGATCATGTACTAGCATTAGCTATGGCTATTTTTCTTTTAATATTTTTTTGTGTTTACAAATTTCAATTATAAAAGGATAAGTGTTTTCTAAAAGAAAAGAATTTCTGAAGGTATAGCAGGCATTTGCAACATACCATATTGCTAATTATTGAGTAAATATTTCTCTATAGTGACTGAGACATGCATGTACCTGAATGCACACTTGAACATTAATCATGGAAAGTCAAGCTGAATGGATTAAGAAATGTCTAGCAGATTAGTGGAGCACAGTTCTGGGTGTGTCAGTGGATGGCTGAGGTGTGGGCCAGCAAACTGAGGCAGAGAAGACTCACTCCCTGTGTGGGTGGTACCAGTTGGTAGGCTTGACAGGATAAAAAAAAAAGGAAATGAGAAGGAACAGTTTCTTCCTGTTTTGGAAGAGCTCCTGAACTTCACAAGTGAATTTGGATATTGGTCTCCAGTTTCGTTAGCCTTGCAAGGCAGACTTGCATAGGCAGCTCTACAGTGGGATTCTAGA